GTGAACCGGTGTTGGCTGCTGGAGCAAGGATGACTTACAAAGCTGATTAGGAGCAACAACGGGCTGCATACAATACTCCAAGCAGGCAAATTCTATGAGAAGTCACGAACTTCGCTGGCAGAGAGGTGCGTCCTGACAGTTCGAGCCCAAGCGAAGACCATCATCTCAAACGTGCAGGATAGAGCGCAGATTGTCTTCGATGAGTCTCATGTTTTGCACTCTTGGGCCATTGTTCATGCTTGCTGGTGACTGCCTACCTGGGCCTACCTGTCGGTGAAGGGCCGCCCCTATAAGGGAAGAGTTTGCTGCTTTGGAGAAACAGTTTATGGCCTAGATCCTTTGCAGGCCAAATACAAGTCGCAGTGGCGACCACGAGCTTGCTTGGGCAAAGACCACATGGACCACATCTTGGTTAGCGACAATGAAATGGTGAGGTGCAAAGCAGTGCGCAAGACATGGGAGCACTGGAACGGTGAACTTCTGGTGAACGCCATTGTGGGGCCATGGGACATGAAGCGACGAGTCCATACAAAGGTGGACACAAAGCCAATCCCCACACCTACACCAGAATTGCTAGCAGACGCCCCATCCAAGCCTGAGCGCAAGAAAGAAAAGAGAAAAGAAGTGAGGCAGATCAGGACGCTGAGGATGTGCGTAAGTATGCCAAGATCATCCAGATGAGGACAAAGAGACAGAGGTTGAGGTTGAGAAGGAAGATTGTGAGCAAGGCGGGGCATCGCCTGAACCCGCTTCAGCTGGTATCCTTCCTCATCAACAGCGAGGAGAAGAAGGACTTGGAGGAGGATCAAAGAGAACAGCAGAAGCAAGTGCAGAGGAGTTGAACGCAGAAAGACAACATAAGGTTCGTGTTGACTGCTCCCAATTGAAGAGACATGAAGAAAGTCAAGGTGGAAACGCTTCCAAAGCTGTGCAATTTGACCCTGACTTACCAGCTCATGAACCAGTGACTAAGGCACCGAAGACCTCTTCTTCCACAACCGCTACTGAGGAGAGTAAAGACCAAGAGAGGCAAACAAGGAGAGTAGAGGAGATTGAATTGTATGATGAAGATGAGCCAACTGCAGAAGGCGAGGAGGATGACGATGCCTATGACTGGATCTATGCAACGCCAAACAAAGCAGAGGCGTTGTTGAGTGAGGCAGAGATGAGGCGAAGAGGCGGCTACAAAGAAGGAGGTTGACCACGAAGTGAGCATTGAGGAACTCCAGACTCTGGATCAACAAGCGATGTTGGCAGAAGTGAACAGGTTGGATGATCTCTCAGTCATCGCCAACCTGGAAGCTGGAGACAATGTAGAAGAAGCCATAAGTTGGATGTCTTCGACTGGCGGTTCAGAGAAGGAAGCTGGGTAAGGCGAGCACGGCTTGTAGCTCGCGAATTCCGAAGTGGAGCAGCTTCCAGCATTGACGCCTTCAGTCCGACAAGCCCACTCGCTTTCATCAGTTGCTGATGTGACCATGGACCTCATGATTTCAGTGATGGAGATTTCAGATGCTTTCTTGCGAGTCACACAAAAGGATTTTATGGCGATAGAGGTCGCAGCATGGATTTGTGAAGTTTTTGGCAATGAGAACTTGGTGTATTGGAATTTGATGCTGTGCTTGCCAGGTTAAAGAAACGCAGCTCTAGAATGGCGCAAGCATGTCAGTGGCTTGTGCTCAGACTTCCAACTCCGTCCATTCAGAGGTGGCACCATTTTTCGGCATGAGAAAGGCAATCAGTTCCTGTCCGTTCATATAGACAACATCATCCTTGTTGCAGAGGAGAAGGAACATTACAAGTTCATTGAGTATTTCTTCAAACTCCTCAAGTTGAAAGCTGATGGTCCCTATGGAACGTCGTTGCCCGGGACCTTGTTCTACCTCAAGAGGAAGCTCACTTTCGACGCTGGAGACAGCAAGTATGTGCCGAAGTTGGTGTGCATGCTGAAGATCCAGGACAGGCGGGGCCGAGGTGTGCCACATTCAAGTTTGGATGTGTTCGATGCCGGTGGATGAAGAGAGGTTGAATGCTGAAGACAGCAAGCTTTTCAGGAGCGCACTTGGATTGTGCCTATAAACGAATTGATGTGCAGCGCAGTGTTCGACTTTTGTCAGTAACATACATGGCAAACCCAACGAAGACAGCCATGGCAGCCATCAAGAAGCTCACATCATACCTGCGAGCTACACAAGATATGGTCCTGAGATTTGAAAAGAATGAAGGACAGAGCAGCGTTTTCTGCAGGCGGAAGCATTTGACGGTTGATCAAGCCCAGAAGAGAGGATGCAGTCAAGAGCACCAGTTCCGGGTTGATCTTCCACAATGGGAACTGTGTGCACTCCCATTCAGGGGGCAAACCTCCATAGCCTTAAGGTCCATGGAAGCGGAGGTGCTGGCCGCAACAGGCCTACTTGCTGAGGGCGTGGCTTTGAAGCAAGCCTTGCAGTTCTCGCTTGGATGCAAGGAGGAGCCAAGTGAGAACACAGTTGTCGAGATGAAGATGTACTTGGACTCCACCTCAGCACAAGCGTTCTTCCAGGCCCTGGCCGGGCCAAACACTTGTGCGCCCGCAGTTTGTGGGGCCAAGAAGCCATGAGAAGAGGATGGTACAAAATTGGTCGCATCAAGAGAACCCGGCCGACCTGAACACTAAGGCATTGAGCAAGGAGAGAAGAGAATACCTTGCGCAGCTCATTGGCTTGCACAGTGGGAGTTTCCAGCCTTTGAGTACACCAAGTGTGCAGCGCATTGTTCAGATGCTGGTGATGGCCGGTTGGTTGAAAGGACGCGCGCCAGAAGCCGACAGTTGTGAAGGGATGAGAACGACAGTGAGGCATAGCATGTGGTGCATTTTGCTTTTGACCTTCACAGTACTCTTTCTTCTGTTTGTGATGTCCGTGATGGTTTTCAACGTCCAGAAGATTCGAACTTCCCTTTCACGATACAGAATTGCGTGGCGAGAGATGAGGGCAGAGTTGAACCTCAGAAGAGATGAGGACCCAATGAGGTTGGTTGGAGAAACAGGTGCAGATGGAGATGGAGAAGGAGAAGAAGAAAATGATGACGAGGCAGATGGTGATGAACCTTGCAATGATGGTGACGATGATGAGACTGGACCAGGAGGAGGAGAGATGCCTGGTACACAGATGTGCCATTGGCAAGTGCATCATCGACGGCAACCAGTGATCGACGTGATACACCGAGGCCACGGAGGAGGATTGCGCAGAAGTCAGAAGGTGACATTGCTGCAGGTCGAGGAAACAACAGTACTACAACAGAGATGGATCAAGAAGCAGAGGAGCGACCTGACCGCAGCTTGCAGAGTGAAGCCACACACACACACACCATGGAGTCACCTGAAGAGGAGAGAAAGGATGAGAATGAAAGAGATGCAGAGGAAGAAGAAAGTGAACAGCCAAGTTCGTCCTTTGGAAGGTAACCAAGCGCATCGAGGCTGAGGGGCACAGAGGCTGAGAGAGAGGGAACGATGAAGACTGACGTTTTCGGGCCAAGTTTGTCAGACATGGTGGCAGACGATCTTTGGAGCTTGGGTCTGAGGCCACAACAGATGGTTGGGCAGAGGTATCCCGTTCAATCGGGAAGAGTTCCAGGAGTTCAGGCAGCGGCTGATTCAAGAGGGTCGTGGACCTGAAGTTTCCTTGACGCTAGCGTGCCGCAACCTCAACGAGTACATCCGCGACTTGGAATACCAGAGGGACCCTGGACTGAGGACAGAAATCAGAGTTGAAGTACCTTCAAGAGTAGCTGATCCTTTGTGGCAAGAAAGATCCCAGGGCATTCAATGCAGCCACTATCACTTTCAACAAGTGGATTGAAAGTGGCAGGAGACGAAGGTGGAGAAGACAGAGAGGCTTCAGAAGAAGAGGCACTGTCGGAGAGTCCAATTCGACCAAGCACTCCAATAGAGGAATCCGAAGACCCAGATGCATGGATTGAAATGAACTACTACGACATGGAGAACGAAGAGAATGAAGAAACAGAGAACGAAGAAGTTGAAGTAGAGACAGAAAATGAAGAAGTGACAGTAGATGATGAAGAGCCCAATGCAACCAACAGTGGTAGCAACAATGAAGAAGAAGAGGGACATGATGAAGACAAAGAGAACAAGACCCCAGAAGAAGCTGGCTGACAGTGCCATCAACGCACGAGGCAAAACATGAAAGTCAGCTCTGAGAGGGGCCAAGTTTTGCGAAATGGAATTCAGAATGTGAAGATAGGAAGTCTGTGAGAAGCCACAAATCCTAAGGCGGGGTGTGAGAAGTAAGCATGGCCACCCTGCAGTAAGGATGACGCGCACTTTGAACTGAGAAGTGTACCAACCCGCAGCGGCTCGAAACCAGCCGACGGAAAAGTTCGCGTTTTTCAGAAAACCACTACCACTACCACCACTACCACTACCACTACCACTATACCACGACGACGACGAGTACTACGAGTACGATGACGACTACTACGAGTACGACGACGACGACTACTACTACTACCACTACTACTACTACTACAACTACTACTACTACTACAACTACTACTACTACTACGACTACGACGACGACGACGACCACGACCACGACGACGACGACGACGCCGACGACGACGACTACTACTACTATACTACTGCTGCTGCTGCTGCTACTACTACTACTGCTAGTGTTAGTATAATACTACTACTACTACAACTACTACTACTACTACTACTAGTGTTAGTATACTACTACTACCACTACTACTACTACTATTACTACTCCTACTACTACTACTACCACTACTACTACTACTACTACTACTCCTGATGCTGCGGCTGCTGTTGCTGCGGCGGCAGTTTGAAAATTTGGCGTGTTGTGCAAGTACGCAGCGCGCGCCCAGCTCATCCATTCCGCGGCAGCCGTTTGTGAGATGGCCAGTTGCAACAGACAACAAGCGAAAAAGGAAAGAAACCCAGTGCCAAATAAAATTGCAGTTATGTTACGTTGCTGACTCATGGTTCGTGTAGTCGGCAACTGGAATTGCCGTTGTCAAACCTAGCAACCCATGGTATGACGGATCTTCGGGCGCCAGCAATGGTTTTTGGCATTGGCCCAGGTCGATACATTGGTAGAGGTTGTATTCGTTCAGTCGGATGGAACCATTTGTCTAACCAAGACTTTCGCAAACTAATGGCAGGTGACATGGTTATTCTATATTTAACTCCTTGTGTTGAAGTTGGCGCTGACGCCGACGCCGTTGTTTTGGTTCGTTGACTCTTGTACTCGCAGCGCTCGCAGGACTGCACGATGAAACATCACCAAGTTCGCAGGACATTGTGATGTTTACGAAATGGAATGTCGGAATTGTTTTTCGAAGACCCATTTGGAGTTTGGTTTCATTCATTTGCGCAGGCACCAGTAGCAACGCCTACCAGGACCTCAGTGTGCTCGAGTTTGTCAACACCTTTCAGCCAGCAACGCTCCAAGATTTAAAACGCAACAACATTCCAAGTATCGCAGCGAGCGTTCCAAAGGACCATGATACTCTGTATAGTATGGTTGTGCCAGGTGCAGCGCCAGGATTCCCAGTGCTGGCCCATCGCCTTGTGCCGAAGCCAGAGGCTCAAAATATGGCTGGTATTGAATGTGCGTTGGAACAATCCGCAAATCCAAGGATAACGGGGCAAAAAATCCTATCCGGTGTCTTGGCAAAGTATCCAGTAGCAGCATCAAAGAATAAAACAACCAGAAGTGGCAAGACCCACCAATGAGCACGAAGGCCTTCAACTGAATTGATAAACACCTTCCTCCAGGACAATTCGTTGTGCAGTTGGTGGGCTCACACCAGTGAACGCCCAGATGCAAACAGTGAGAACACAAGGAGTTGGAGCACTGGCGTGCATCCACCATGGTCCAAGAGGTTTGGAATTTGAATTTTGTGTTTTCGTTAGGGGCTTCAAGGCTAGGCACGTAAGGGTAGACCCGGCGTTGGTGCGCTCTGTAACTTGCAGGCTTTGATGCCAAACAAGTTGACGGTTGGATGCCTCGACCGCGGCTTGGAAGTTTATATACTCATATTTGTTGATTTCCGAATGGGGATGTGCATTCAATCCTTTCCAAGTTTTCCGATTGCGCATTGCAGGTGCCTTTGCTGAGTTTCAGTCTGCGTCGGGCCAGGTGCAAACTGGGAACAGTTGGGGAAGATAGATAGCCGCAACGAGAGAAAGAGGGAACTTTGTTCAGTTTTGTCAAAGTCCAAATGGTGACGCGGTTAGTTCCACCGTTCTGCTTCATGTTTGAGAACAGGCTTGAAAGAAACCAGGACCGCTGAAAATAGAGCTCAAATACATGACCTGGTTCTTCATGTTGAACTTGGCATGCCACGTGTTCCTTGAACGGCTGGCCTCAAAGCAGGGAGCGGGCTGTTTGATATCGTTGTGGTTCTTTTATTGACGCGTGTGATGGTCTTACATTCATCATGACGTTCATGTCATGTTGGTGTTCAGATTTGGCAGGCCATGCTTTGCACGTTTCTTTGTAAGCCCAAGGCATGCAGGCTAGAATCGATTGGTACTGCAACAACTGGCGTACCATATGGATGTTTCAAACCATTTGAGGAATTGTTTCACTACTTACTTGCCCTTTAAACAACCAACCTTTGTGCACAAATGGCGCAGGCGGAGAACCAACCAGGCTGGCAAACTATCCAAGTGATTCACTGCAATTGCATTGTATGCTCAAGGAGCTTGAGCTGCAAGTGGTGCCCCAGCAAGTGGGCTGTGCAAATGTGAAAGCGATGCTGCCACTCATGGGCATTGGACAAGGCTCAACAGAGCAGCCCGTCGCCTTGGGAGCGGGCCTTGAAAAGCAAATGAACTTTATCTCTCCACCGGTGCATTTTGGCACCCGCAGATGGACCTGTGCCCTGAGACACTTGCTTGGAACTGTCAAGGAAACTGGTGCAATAAATTCTCTTACATACATTTTCCGTTTCCTAGAATTTTTGCATCAGCAATGATGAAGACACATAGTGCCTATCATAGTGCATTTATCCCGAGGTTTGGTCCTTTTCTAAAAAATCCTGGGCACCGGTAGCCACAGCAATAGAGTGGTTTCTTAGAAATGCTGACATGCGACGCACGCGGGTATCCAGTAGGCCTTTACTGCATGTGTTTTTGGTGGCTTTTGGCTCGTATGTAGATTTGCCCTGCCGGTTCCACTTGCCCATGGCCATTGGCACGTATCGGGCTTGTTACGCGCCTTGTGGTATGGCAAGCGACTCATGTCTCACTGAATGCAAGGCCTGAGGCGGAAGATGTGGTGGAACTGGTCGAAGAGGCACTTTGTGTGTCTCTCGAATTGTCAAATTGCAGCCTACTTAACTTGACCCGAGAGACACATTGTTGGATTGCTTCGCATGACCATCAGTGCTATCCATCTCAGATTTGCATGGGTTTCTGAAGTCCTAGTTGTCGGTTTCAATCATTGTGTGCTTAATCAGGTGACAAGCTTTAGCTTTGAGATACCCGAGGGGGTGAAAGCAGGAGTGAAATTGAAGGCTTGACATGAGAGAACTTGCATGGTTCACATTGAATGTATTCCTTTAGAATCTTGTGGAGCAGTTTGCACAATTTGGCCGATAAGCAATGTGCAGGTGGTGGCACCGGACCAAGTCACACTTCACATTCCTTTGCCGCACAATGTTGTGACTGGTGACAGGTCTGAGCCGTAGGCATCAAACCATGATGAGCCGGCATCGAGCTGTATTGTTACAGGATGGTCATGGTAAAATCTCTCGACGGCAAGTGGGGCATCAAGCATGTCTGGCCTTCAGATAAATGGCAGGTTTACCATGAGCATATCAATGGCTAGCTTGAGGTTGTTCGTGGTGAACTAGGTGGTTCACCTATGTTTGGCACATAGTTTTCATCTTCACTCGCTGTATTCATTGCATTGAACCGGGATGTTTATTTTGCACTCAGGTTCAGTACTCCTTGGAAGACTGAAGAAGAAATAGCACCTATGCCAAGTTTTTCTGAAAAGATGTTGACATTTATTATTACCTGGCCATGTTGTTGCGTTGATTGTAACCGTAGCTCGTTTTCTGCATGTCCACATCCAAACCCATGATTGTTATGACTAGATAAGGCCTTCGATGCTTCAAAAAGCTGCTAAGGATGCTAACAGATAAAACCAACATGCCATGCAAGAAGAACCGCTCACTGCCGGTAGAATAATGAATTCATGAGTCATGAGCGGAACATGAAGGAGGGCGTTTCAGAGGCTGTATAAGGCTTTTTGATTATGTAATAACTTACTGAAACAAGTCTCAGCTGTTCTGTGTGGAAAGACTTGATATCCAATGACAGGCCAAAGACCTCAGCCAACCACACGTCATCCCGACAATTATAAGCTTTGCAAGTTTTGATCGGTTTGGTCGTGAAGGTAGCTTGTTTGTGGCAGGTGTGCAGCGTGGAGCTAGCAACCACCAAGGGCACAATCAAGCTCAGGCACTTTCGGCGACAAGCCTTTGCATACAGCTTTGCTTTACTATGTCTTTTTTAATCGTATCTCATCCTGCAGGGTTGTTCCGAGTTGGGCGCCAAAGGGTGCACAACGCTTCCTACAGCTTGTGAGTGACAAGTGCTCCCAAGCTAAGCCTGCTTGGCAGCTAGGTCAGGAGCTTTCATCGCTGTGGTGTTGTGGGCCAGGTACTATACGGACCTTCCCATTTATCGAGCAGTCTGATCCCCAATCCAAGTGACTTTACTAGTACTGACTGTACATTCGGCCAGGGCAAAATTTCCTCCAGGTGCCAGATTTCTTGATACAGTTCGGTGTCACTACTGACGATCGATATGGGAGATATGAGGCACAATGTTCAACGCTTGCTTGATGATTGGTAGGCATTCTTGTGCCCCAAGTTTAACTATGAGACGAAGCCAACAGGCCATGGAAGATGATGAACTCAAGGGAATTCCCTTCTTAGCGAGTGGCTGAGACAAGATCAGCCTTGACTCATTTCTGGCCATGCATCGCACAAATTAAGGAAGGTATGGTGTGCTTCGCAGCGTCCAGCCAGTGAAACCGTCCGATTGGAGCTACAACGTGCATGTTGCAAAGCCTATCTCGTGAAGTCAAGCACTCGCAGCATCCAAGATTCGGGTTTCCATTGTGGTCCGATGCCAGGAATAGCCGACTAGCAGCGATTTGTGTCTTCTTGACCGACCTACCGCAGCTGGGGAAGTGCAGCCAGCAAACTTTGAGAAGCATAATGTTTCGCCGCCGCGTGCAATGTTTTGGTTGCCAGAAGTTGCCAGCACTTTTGGCAGGAGGAGCTGGGAGACACCATTCGCTCGAGTTTCAGAAGAATCTTTCCCTGTGTGGGTTCCTCAAGTCATGGACTGATAGTGCAGTGTGCTGATGGCTGACCAGTGCTGCCTCACAGGCTGCGGAGCATTTACACCGGCTATGGTGAGATGCCACAATGTGGCGGGAGTGGTCCTGACCCAATTCAATTGCAGGAGAGAACGACCGAAGGATCTGAAGGTGAAGAGGATTTGGAAAAGGTGATCATGTTCGTTCACAAGGCTTTTCAAGCTCACTTGCGAGTCGTCTAGCCTGCTTTCTCATCACCATGTTGCGAGAAAGGATGATGTGTCCATTATATAGTCCTTCTGAAATGCGTCCGTGTGGATTCAGGAGGTTCTTTCTTTATACTTTGCCCCTGATAAGTTGGTAGAAATTTCCTGGCTGGAGGATAGAGGGAATCCTTACATCAAGGAGAAATTCCCGCAATGTGACTACGCACGGTGCTCAGATGTGCCTGGTGCTTAAAAAAGTGGCTTTGGCAGGACATTCTGATTCTTAGGTCGAGTCTGCTGAATGGGTGCAGTGAGGAGCCGGCCTTTAGCCTCTAGGTTGCGCAAGCAAGTTAGTCTTAGCCAAGCACCTCTTGCAGTGTACTGTTATGGTGCAACATTGTAAAAAGTACAATCCCTGGTCCCGATCCCTGTAGCATGCCCTCCAGCTTGGGTGCACTCATTCGTTTCACAGACTCAGCGCGAAGAATCACAATTGCAGCAAAAGCATCAGAAGTGGTTTGATGTTTTTGTTTAGGTGCTCATGAAACTGTCTTTATAGCCTAGTTGCACTGCCAGATGCTTGCATTTTTGCCTCTGGGCTTCAGAGCAGTTCGGTAGTTCACGACCACGCAGCACAGATGATCGCAAGAGGTAAATGCATGGGCTTCACTTGAAGCAGAGGTTCTGTGAAGATAATTGAGCGCTTCTTAAGAGAATACTCATTTTTGCCAGTGTATCTCCAATGTGTTTCCGTTCGGTTCTTTGTGGGTGAGCTAACTGGCTTTCTTGGCGCGTTGATTGGGCATGATGTAGCGCTTGAAAAATGTTCGGCAGATGCACGACGAAGAGGAGCACACCAGTCTTGGATTGTCGTGTTGGACTCGATCCCGTAAATGCAGGAAAATGGCAAATGCTACGAGCAGGAGCACTGGGATTCGCTTTTGGAGCTTTGCGAGGGCTATAGATTCTTTGCGGGGAAGTGGTTGCACTGATGTGGTATGCATCCTTCTGACCTTCCAGTCATCATGGGAAGAACCCAACTGCCAAGGAGAGCTGCATGCAGCAGAGCCACCACTTGAGAGAAGAGCCAAATCTTGGTCTCGATGTATCGCCTTTGCACAAGTTAAGCTTGGAGACCATGGCCAAATTCATGCCATTCACGAATCCAATGGTTTGCAATTGGCACCGCACACGACCATGTTGCTGACGTATGCTGACGGATTGTTTCCTGCGAGTTCGGGCACAAAACGCAAGACACTCTCACCGACAGCACAAGCACCAGTTTTGACAGAGCACCCAGCAGATGCACCTGAATTCCTTCACTGTGTGTAGTGTTGCGTGCCAGCCTGTTGGTTTAATATTCAGTATGCATCCAGTGGGCTTGGTAGCGTGCACAGCGACGTCAGAGTGATAAGGTCAATTACGGCTACTCATGTTCTTGGACACAAATACTGTGAGGCGGACAGAAATGTCGTTTGGGTGACACTCAGCATCACCAAGTTTCGAGAAACAAATTCACCAAGCGAGGCTGAAGAAATTCGACATATGTAGAAGGCGGGTGCCATGTCAGTCGGGCACATGGGAAAGTTTGCACACAAGCTTTGGCCAAAGCATTGGCTAATGAATGTCGAACCTCTTGCAAAGCAATTGTAAGCCATAGTGCCCTGCACTCTGTGGTAGTTCTATAGACAGCCTAGCATTGATCAAACACAGAGTCGAAGAGCAGATCATTGCTGGAACCAGCGCAGAAAGGATGCGTCTATCGTTGTACTTTGTATCGGGTTCATATGGATACAGGAGTTCGCCCAATCTTAGAACCTCCGAGCAATTAGGCAACAGTCAGGTAAGAAACGTGCCACCATGAGTAGATGTGCTTTGTGGCTCGAGAGAACATTTGATTTCGCAGAACAATGGCCTATTGCAACTGGAAAAAGCGACAAGGGCCCAGCAACATGCATGCATGCCAATGTATGCAAATGCAAGTACCCCCAGAGGCTTTGCGGGCTGTCAAGGGTCAGATGCCAGCCTCTCATCATGGAGGCACATGTGGCGGTGCCGCATTTGAGCGGATATTTATATATATATATAATATGCAAGTGTGGACAAACTCGAAACGTCTATTCAGAAACAGTCTCCTAGATTAATCGCCGCAAAAGGATATTGGGAGATACTGGGAGTTGTGGCAAGTCTGTGTCCGGAAGGACTTAGGTGCCTTGTCAATTTTGTAGACAACTGTGTCACCTTGGTGGTGGGTGTTGAGTGTGGCGTTGCACTAGGAGGGTCTATTTAAAGGGCTACCGCGCCAAGTCCACAACAAAAACACCAAACCTATGCAAAAGGGAGAGGTTTTTCATGGTTTTTCCTTAGAGCAAATCTCCCTACTTGATGCTTAATGCCTTGACCTTTTGGAATCTCTTTGACTATATATATATAGATAATATATGTCTTATTTTTGTTGTGTAGCTGGCTGGGTGGACGGGTTGGGTTTGGTTGCCCCTTCAGCCGTGCCTTTTTTTGCCTTGAGTGATTGCAAGCAATCTGAGCAACCCGCCGTGAAAGCAATTCCCTGCATATTTAGCAGGCCCAACACAAAGTAGGTAAACTAACCGTAGAATCTGAAACTCTATGCCTCTAGGCTCCAGAATTCAGCAAAAGGGACACTCTAACAAACATGACTGCCGGAATGCTGCCCAAATGAGCTCTCCGGAAGAAAAAATCCTTTGGAGAGCTCATGTGGGGAGCTTTTGGCAATCAATATGTTGCTCTTCAATTTTGGGTCTCCCCTTTATTCAACTCAATTGCAGAACCGCGCATTTGTGGCTGGGGTAGCAAACGCCGCACCGATCCTTCAACTAACTCATTTTCATCCTGAGAGACAAGCTCCCAAGAACTAGCGTTTTGAAAGAAGTTGGGTGCCCGGGTAGGAAAGTTGTGAGCATTGTTTTGGGCTGCCCCATGCAGCATCAATAGGCAACAGCTGCGCCGTGTGGCAGCGGCAGCACCATTGTATGATCGCTGTTTGTTAGGCATGATCGAGGGCGATTTGAGTGATACGGCAGGTTCATGTAGAAGTGCGATGTTCCTTCTACATTAAGGAAAGGGAGGGAGAGGAACCTTTTGCTTGCTAGGATGAAGGATGAAGGTTTGTATGTGCGACTAGTAACAAGAAGCTACCAGTAGCGATGCACATGTTAGTAGTCTACTGTTTGTTGTTCATCCTTTGCTACCCGGTACTCAGGAGCGGCAGGCGTCCAAGTCCATCGGGGGCAGCCTGAGAAGCCTTTGGTCCTGTGGGTGTTGGCAGCCACAGACGAGGCTTCTTGGAGAAAAATGGCTCCATGTCGTGATGTTGACTTTGTTGCGGTCAATGGAAGTGAACAATGCTTAATCAATATCAATCAAAGTGTAGCCGTTTTCTCAGGTGGAGGGTGTGTTGGCGGCCACTGGCTACTTCCAAGATGTGCCTTGGTTACCATGCCTTCCAAATCAGGCGATGGAGCAGGTTGACGTGACCAATGTGCAGCTCTAAAGAATGCTAGATGACCATGCCCGTGCCCAAAGCACAAGCACCGTATCCACCCGAATTTGAACATTTGGATTGTGTACGTCTTCCGCTTTAGACGCATCCAGAAAAATCGCTTCCAACACGCTTCCAATTATTTCCGAGCACAATTCCAAGCATGGAGAAAGTAGGGACCATCAAGAGAGCCCGAGCCAGAGCATAGAGCATGGAGTCGGAGCCTCCACACGCGAGGCACATTTTGCTTGAATACATATCTCACAGGACCAGTGTGAGTCACTCGTCGTCATACAGCCGTCAGAGAGTAGCTGCGGGATCGCAATGTAGTCGGCAATGGGCAGTTGCACCTTCGCTTAACCACAAACAACTGGCCTACAGCTGCTCCCGGCTTGGAGATGGAGTACATAGTGTGGGCGAATAAAGCTTGGCCATTTTGAGCATGAGTGAGTGCAGAAGGACACAAAGCCTGTGTTCTTTTCATGAATGCATAAGACAATGGAATAAGAACCTGTGCTTGATACTTGAACTCATGCCGTCACTCTTCACTTAATAAGGTCTCCTGGCTAAACCGTGCTCCCACAGAAGTGCTACTTCTCGGGACCAACTTGCGGCAGCGCGAATATGCTGGAGATGGACGATGCTCAGTCCGAACAACAAGTTATGATCGCGCCCAGGCCCGGCTGGAGAGCGCAATCCCACGTTCGTCCAGTCTTTATCTTCGGAACTGGTCGTTGAATTGGTGGTTCTCCAGCATTGCCATGGACTAACCGACTATCATGATTGTGTTGTAGAAGGACTTGCTGTGACTTAAAGCACCCCAGGACGTGCCCTTGCCACACTTGGCCTGCATCTTCATGCCGGACAGACATGATGTGGCCTTTGAGCCAGGTCCGGCTCTGAGTTCAACAACCTGTGCACTTATGTTGTAATGAAGAGCCATAAAGAATGGAAAAGGAAAAGGCAAGATTCAAAAACATGTTGCTCCATCTTCCTAGAAAGAAGGCATTCCAGACGGACTTGCAACATTCTTCGCAACTCAGGAGATGGTATTTTGGAAGGCCGTGGCCCAATACCCCGTGAAGCTCTTGCACTTCTGGTCAACATTCCGATTGTGGTCTCCACGTGCTTCAAGCTGCCGACCAGACAGGGCTTGCAAATTTTCACTACAGAACATGGAATTCAGAGCTCACTTCCGTACTTACCGAATTCTCATCACAATTATTGCGGCCAAAAGTGCCAGTCAAACATGCTCCAGGAACCAGAGCAGAACCTTAAAAACAATCTTTCTGTTGCATATGGGCTAAGAACCTGCCCTAGTTCTTGAAGCTCATAATAGTTGGTCTGGATGAATTTGCTCCTAGATTGCGAATACACCCCTTTTCTATCTGCATTCTTCCAACTGCAGACTGCATATTCTGTGAGCTGGTGGTGAGTCTGTATCTGCCGTTCTCCAGGTATATACATGTTTTGAGCTAGCAACTGTGCTGAGCTTGGAGGAACTGCACAGTCTTTGGAGACTTTGGGTTCTTTGCTGCTTTTGCGGGAGACGCCCTGTCCCTTTTCTTCATCAGCTGGAGATGCATATGTGCAGTTCGCGGACAACAGCTGGTTTTTTGCCGTTCAAGGGCCAGATGCACTGGCGTTTGTTTTGAACCATGCTCCCTGGCTGTGGTGTTGTCACATGCGGAAAAACGAACCGTCTAAACTTGCCCACAACCTTTGGTTAGCACCGTCCCAGTGAAGCTGCTTTATGATGGGGAAGATCCCAGTTTTTGATCAGCAAGTGCGCCAACGAGCCCATGTGAAAGGGTCTACCTGTCCAAAATTCACTGTTGTGAGGACAACCGCCCACACCA